TACTCCACCCCTACCTCCCTATATAGGCCCATCCTTCGATGCAGCCTTCACCTCCTTCACTACAGAAGTGAGAAATCTCATAGCCAACCTTCCCATTCCTCCATCTACATCCACCACCACCTCCATGACACCACAAGCCTCATCATCAAGCACGGAGTTCACCACCAGAGCCGATCTAAGGGCTCTGTTCAAGGCACTTGTCTCATCCTTCAATGAGATAAGTGCCAAATTCGTCCATCACGCTATTCAACCAACCAGGGTTCTCTCCCAGAACCTGGCTGATGAACAAAGGCGCACCACTTCTCTCCTTCACACGATGGAGGAGAGCCGAAGACAAGCATCCCTGAAGGCGTATCTTGCATCCTTCAGGAAGGAGAAAAAGAAAAAGAGGAGCAGAGCTTCATGCTCCAGCAGCCGCCAACATAAGAGGTCACGACATGAGGACTCAGACCCCGATGATCAAGGTCTTGGACCTCATGAGGGGGAGAATCAGGCCATGGCTGTCTAGCAAATGGAATCCGCTGCACCACAACCACCACCACAAACACAAGAACAACCTCCACCCACAACCGAAGGAATCCAAGCGAGGGAACCAGAGGCTCAGCCCTCTGAAGATGTACAAAATGTACATGTTCCCCTCGCTACTACCCAAGAACCCATCGTGTTTGAGTTCATCAACCGATGAAAATCCAACCACCCCACCAACAAAAATAAACCAACTTTTTACTCCATCACCCACACCAAACCTACCATTAACTCCATCACCAACTCCTCGCGAAACACCTTTCACCAACCTACTCAATGAACCTGAACCTTCACCTCAAACTCAACCACAAACACAACCCGATGAACCTTCACCACCCCAAACAGAGCCAACCCAAGAAACCATCCCATTGCCAATCGAAACACAACCCACTACCCAAACACAACCCCAACCAATACACAACCCATCATCCAAACTCAAACCCTAATCGAACCAACCACGATGCAAGCAGACATTCCCTCTTCGTCAAGGCAACCTCCGCAAAGCCTAGTGGATGAAATAATCCAGAACAGGGAGTAGCTGCGAAGACGTCCATAGCTGCCACCCAGGGAACCCATAATGATGGAAAATATCCATCAATACTTGTATCACGATCGTGATAAAAGTTTGACCCTCAATCCTTCGGTTCTATCGCCAGAATCCATTGACCTCCTACATCATAGGTTTATTAGACAGACCACCCAAGCACCACTGGCTGTCTTCTCAAACGATGGGATAAGGAAGGTTATGGACCTAAAAGTGAGGACCTTTGCCAACAGAGCCATAAGATACATCGAGTACACAGTGGAAAGAGCACATGGTCAAATCAGCGTGTTCAATGACAATGACCTAATCAACCTCAATCCCTATGACTTGATCGAACTTTATGCATACACGGCTCAGCGACAGGATCATGGCATCAAATTTGGGATGGCGAACAGARCGGTTGTGAAGACAATGGARACCCTGGTAAAGCATCGAGCCAAGAGTGATTTTGAAATTGCTCTTCGCTTAGGCATCGAAAGACTCTCTTGCGCTCCACCAAATGAAGACTTCCCTGGCCTGCAGGAGAAAAGATCTGCCTCTGTCTTAACTCAACCCGAGCTTGGAATTGTCTTCAAGAATGAGTTCGGGGTAAAGAAATTCTTCAGATTGACTGAAGCCTTCAAGTATTCAACCGATACACTTGAGTGATTTTAGAAGGTCATCAGAGAAAGACTTGGTAGATCTCATGTGCCAAGAGAAGATGGGAATCAACTCATTCATGAGATATCAACAGTCAYMGGCTATCGAAGACTGCTTCTGCGCTTCTGGGATATATCTCAAGGTAGATCATGATGAGTTGTAAATTTTTGCCTTAAAATGATGTCTTTTGTTTCCAKTATTGTAAGAATTCATCATCCAATGGAAATTTGGAATTTGATGTTTTTCTTTATATTAGTCTTTGTTCTTCAATTCTGTTTATAGATTAGTTTATGTTCTTTCATTACTTAGGGGGAGATTGTTAGACCCCATAATCCATAAAGTGTAAAAGTAATGAAAAACAATAAGTGATGAAGAACCAGAAGACCGATGAAGACATCAAGACAGAATTGACTAAGTCTGGAGAACAACCAGAGGGTCGATGAACAACCAAAGATGCGATGGAAAGAGCATCTTCATCACCCCTCTGGTCAATAACACTTAGGGTGCGTTTGGTACGTTCGACAGGGTAGGACAGGACAGGACAGAACACAATTGTCCTATGTTTGGTGTGGTTTTATGTGGGACTAACTAGACCAAACTAGAACAAGGGTGGGACAAGGTTGTCCACCCTTTACCCATGGAACTAAGTAGAACAAGAAACTTTTTACCACTTTACCCTCAAAAACCTCATACGCATACCTTCCTTCTTCCCC